AATAGTAGCCTGTATGATGGAAAGGTATAAAGTCACTCAAGAAGCTCTTACAAGGGGAAACACATCTTGATGTTTTAATTCTAAGGAGAAAGGAACTCAAATCTACTTCCTCTTGTAAGGTATCCCATAAAGTTCTGGTCCAAATAAATAAAATGGGATACAGAATACAACTGGGATCATTATCATGAATAGGATTTCAGCCTGTCAGTGTCTGGGAACTGTGGAATTCAAGGTTGCTAAAAGAATACTAAGTAATGAATGTCTGTAATGAAAAGCATTTCAACAAGAACATTAATTTTTCTTAAAAGATAAAAAAAAAATACAAATCCCAAAGCCATCTCCTTTGAATTGCTGCAATGAGGCTGAGCAAAGAAAAATTCTAAGAATGTGGGGAAAATTGTTTTAGGTTGATGTGAAAATCATCACTTACCTACAGTAGTTCAAATGCCATCACATCCAGCCAGTTCATTACTTTTTCTTTTGTCTTCCCTCTCCTTTTTTTTTTTTTTTTCAGTGTTAATATTTCAGATTTTGTTGGGATGCAAACTAACACTGAAATGAGGATATAGTTCATGCATTAAGCTAAACTTCATTGTGATTTCCTATGGGAAAGTGGTTAAAGCAATACTCCTGCAAGCATGCAATGCAGCTCAAATCAAAGGCAGGAGTAAGCAGAGGGTTTGTAATTAGTGATGTTCCTATATCACCTACAGCAATTAGCTGCTGTTGCATGATGGCAGGTAGTTGGACCATCTGTAAAAGAGAGGGAGAAGGAGAAAAGCATGAGAGGAAAATTTACCACAACAGAGGCAGAAAAGCAAGGGATACAGCCAGCACAAACACTTGCCCTTGAGAAAAGCTGACAGTGAAGAGTAAGTGCTTGCTAGGAACTGGACTCAGAGATGCATCTTTGTGCCAGGGGAAACAGGAGGGTTTTTTGCTTTCTTTAGACAATCAGGACTGTATCAAAACTATCTGAAGTAATCATTAGTCATTAACTTTACAACAACAATTTTAAGGGAGAGAAAGCTGAGAATGGATCTTGGTTTTGTTATAAGTTGAGGTGAAATAGATCTGAGAGTGGTCAAAAATAAATACTTTTATTTATTTAGAAATTAGATATGGGAGAAATTATCTCCCTTAATCTCCAGCTGCATGTGATCTGTCCCTGCCAATTGGGCTTACTGATACTTTCCTTCTCTTGTATTTTGTTCCTGAAGTTTGAGGACTGTGAGGTCTCCCTGTGTCCCTCTCTGTCCTGCCCAGTCAGGCCCCACAATGAGTGTGGACTGGGGAGCTGAGGTAGGGGAGCTGGTATAGTCAGCAATGTGTCCCCAGAACAACTCTGATGCCCAGGATACAAAATTTTATTTTCTTCACTTTCAGAAGGGCCCTTGAATCCTGCAGCAGTTTGGGCCTTGTGTGGTTCACAGGAGAGCGAATAAACAGAAAACCTGAAGTCTTCTGTTTCTTTTTCAGTCTCTGTGTTTCCTCTTTGCACAGTTTTTACAGTGGCTTCTGACATGATACTGCCTGATGACTTCTGTGAAGATCCCATCACTATTTTCAGATATTATGTGAAAGAAAAAGAGTTTGGGAACATGGTTGCTGGTTTTCTGTACCCTTTTTAAACCTAGGGCTACTGGAGTGTCATCATTTCAGTGATTTTTTTTTAACCTTATTTCAGTATAAAGGAGAACAGAGATCCAGGAACTCTGACTTTCTTTTCCAAATACAGTTTCCTTCTTTGTTACAATATTACAGAAGAGATAACAGGGTGGAAGGAATGAAGCATACTTGGGTACAAAGACACCTTTCTGGTTTTACTTTTACAGGGATGTAAGCAGTGCTAAACCTATAGCTACTAGGTTTAGTCAATTCCTTCTATGGACTCATCTCATCTCTCTCACAGATTTCACCTCTTAGTGATGGAAAATTCTCATTACCTAGTTTTAAATGCTCATATTGTTATTCACTAGCAGCACACAGAAAGACTTTTGTCTCAATATGACCAGAAATTGGATTTGCACCTGTCTGTTTCTGTATAATGTCCTATTTAACTTACAGATCTTCGGTTAAATTCAGATTGAAAGTTTACTTCAGTGCAGTCTCTCTTTTCTCCAGCTGTGCTGCATCAGGGCCTAATTCTTGGATGTGTAGAGCACAAGGCCAAATCTCATTGAAATGCCCATTATTTGTGCTTCTCAAGCACATCTAAATCTTTGTACTCTATCATCTCCTGGATGTCAAGAGAAATTTTTAAAACTTAACCCCTTGCTCAGATTTAAATTTGTAATGTGAACTCTCCTTATCTTTGTAAAAGTTAACTTCAGAATCACAGTAGAAAAATCACAGAATCCTGGAAGGGTTTGGGTTGGAAGGGACCTTAAACACACCCAGTTCCAACCCCTGCCATGGGCAGGGACACCTTCCACTAGCTCAGGTTGCTCCAAGCCCCATCCAGCCTGGCCTTGAACACTTCCAGGGATGGAGCAGCCACAGCTTCTCTGAGCAACCTGTGCCAGTGCCTCAGCACCCTCACAGGGAAGGATTTCTTCCTGATATGCAATCTAAGCCTCCTCTCTTTCACATCACATTAGGGCCCTATTTTAAGAGAGGATTCATCAATTGTTAAACAGCTTTAGATTGTCAAAGCTTGGCCCATGTAAATGCCAGTTACCAACATTCATTATTTGAATGACATATCAGGTGTCTTGGGGGTTTGATTAAACAAATTCAAGAATAATCTAGTAACCTGTAGGTTTGTTGAAATATTTGAAGCAAGTTACAATCTTACTTTTCTTGGACAGTCTTGGAAAAAGTGTGATTGACATTGGCTGATCATAACATTAAAAGAAATATATCTAAGCCATAAAACCTATGAGTTTTTTAACTTCTGTGTTCCATAAAAATAGGAATGTAGCCTTTTATGGCCCAAAGAGCAGTGAAAGTGCTATACCTTCTCTGTGGACACAAATTTGGTCAGTGTGGAATATTCACATGCTGTGGGAGGACAGGGTCACTGAGGTAACACTCTCTGGCAAGTTAGAATGAAAATACTTGTCATGAAAATTATATATATATATATATTTTTTAAAAAGAAAATGTGAAAGTCATTGACAAAATTATTACATCCAACTAATTTACATTTGAATGTGCCTTAGTTTATCTCACATCTCTTTTACCACAGATAATAATTCTACAATAGCTAAAAGTAAGTGATGGGATTTGCAGTTATATTATACAATGTATAAAAACTGTCCGTGTTAATGCCTGTCATACAATCACAGCTGTTAGGGTTTTAGTAGTATTTTGAAGCCTCTCAGTCACTTCCATCCCCAACACATGCTCCCCCCACCCTATCAGTGTCCTCTCCTTCTTCTCTGGTTCTTGCTTGGAGGCTTCAGGAGACTCTCCCGATATTTCACATTTGTGTGGAACAGTCGGACCATTTCATGGTCTTTGTTATCCAATACTCTGGGCAGAAAGAGAGAGGATTTCTGTGTCCTGCGAGTTTTAAAGCCCCTTCTGGGTCGTCCTTTCCCATTGATTGAGACATACCAAAGTCTCTCTGCGCTGGCTTTGCGCTTGGTGCCAGCTCTGTTGGGCACAGTCCGGTAGAGACGAGACGCGTAGGTGTTGTAACCCAGTTCATGGATCCTCTCCACGAACTCACACTCTGAGTTGTAATTTTCCTGTAAAGGAAACATGACAAAATCTTAAGTAAGGCTCTACTCAGTTGTAGGATAAGGACAGTAACACAAGTGATAAGAGAACCTCAGGCTGGTGCTACGAAGGGTGAGCAGAAGAGAAGTGCTGAACCTGAACTGCTGTGCAACAAGGTGCTCCCTGTCAGCAGTGTGAGAGGGTCAGAGACAGACAGAGGCTCAAAACAAACTGAAAACAAAACATCAGATGTGAATAGGAATGAATAGCTCTGCTGAGAGTTAAGCTGTACAAACTGCAAACAAAACATTAGATGAGAATAGGAACGAATAGCTCTGCTGAGAGTTAAGCTGTAATATTTTTGTACGTGTGCTTATGAATTTAATGCATCTGTGAACAGGACAGATCTTTTCATTGCTGCCTTTCAATACCTGACATCTATTAAAAAGGTAAAATCCTACAGTTTAATGCAAAATGTGGCTCTAATTCGTATATTGGTCATTAGATACACTTGCAGTCTGTTACATCCAGTTTGTTATGGATATTTGAGCAGTAAACCACTGTTATGGAGTTACCTTGTTTGTTCAGCATATCTTTATGGAGTTACCTTGTTTGTTCAGCATAATAAAATGAAAGTACACTCTGCCCATCAGTTTGTTCCTCCAAAACACCAGGCTGCTCCTTCATCACAAAGGGTAAGAGGGAACATGCACCCATCCCAGCTGCTCACATTTTACATGATCTGTCAAAATTTGCCCCTTTTCATTCAGTCCTGAACTGAGAGAAAACTGTGAACAAAGCCTGACACAAGGAGCTCCTTCCTCCTCCCTGGGAGCAGGAGAAACTGTGCAGACAAAGGACCTCCCACACTGTACATCTTAACTACAAAACCATCTTTTCTGTACCTGTGTGATTAAGATTTCAGTATCTAACACATGTGAGGCACAGAGGAAGAGGGGAACTGTTACTATGGTCTGTTACAGAGGTTTTCTATTTTGCATCACCTCTCTGAAGGACATGGAAAGGGCACAGGTAGCCAGACTGGGGCCAGAAAAGCAAGAGACTCCACTAATAGCATGTCTTTAATGCTGTTCACTCACCAGAAATGCTGATAGGCATTTAACAAGATCTTAAAAGACTCCACATGTCTCAGCTTCACAGCTGTAAAACGGAAGTGCCTTTCCTTCCTAGGACAAGGTTTTCATATGCTGTGGTGCTGGAGCCCATGCAACTACCAGATGTAGGTAGATTTGTCCTGCTATCTGTCTCCATTCTGGGTAGAGAGGGGTTATCACAGAGGATAAATCTAGAGGATGGTCACAATCTGCTGAGGACACAAAGGAATTCTGCAGGCTCCACAAACTCATTTTGTTGACATG